CTGTAAAAACAATTCATTACAGCAACAATTATAATGCAGTAAATTTCGCAAGCAGTATCGCGAAATTAAAAGTTTGTAGGTTGTATTAAAGTGCGTGTCCTATGTGTGTGTCGTGTGTGTGGTGGAGTGTGCATGTTAAACAGCCAGAAATAGCTATACATTTGTAATTATATGCAAGAGACTACAGTGGTACAAAGTACTCTGAGGAGCCGAAGCTCCATATGACAGGGTGGTGTGAAGCAACATCGACTTTAGATGTCGGAGATGGGGAGGAGTGCTTTTATACCTCGTTGGCCACAGATCACAAGGACTGCATAACACTATTATGGAGATAAGATGACCAAGGTGTTGTATCATAATGATGCAATGGCTCCTCGCGCAATTTTTAACAAAAAGCAATAAATCATTATGTGATAGCAAACGCTTCCCAATTTCTTCAACGTCCGGTAACTACTAAAACTTAGCTTCAATGTGCAGTATACGCTCATTTTTGGTTCGAGTTCAAACTGCGAAAGTCAGTGACGCGTTTTGTTTTCAATGTTTCGGATAAATTTGATTTGGCTAAGTTTTTATCACCTAAACTTGCTAAAATTAGTTCTACAAAACCCACTGATTTCAATGTTTTGGCTGAATCGTGACCTTTGCAAATACAGTTCTTAATCTGTTTGTATGTGCTAGGGCAAACTGGAGCTCTTTATGTTACCTAGAACCCAAAGTAGCATCATATGTTCCCATTTAATTTGAATTATTGTAAAATGAAGTAGCTAACTAACGCTCGGATTCTGATTGCCGAGAGCTCAAATACGATATTATGTCTGAATGAAAAAGGTTTATTCGAAATTGAACAATTCAGTGTGGAACTGCATTAATGTGATTGAAAAAAAAAAAACAAATCCAGATTTTACCGATAATGATAAAAGAGTGAAAAACTATCACATTAGGAAAATAACAACCGTTTCGAGAGAAATATCACCCCCGTGAAACCAAAGATTTACAAAAAAAAAAATGCGGCGGTCCAAGAATACAGAGGTTTTTTCAAAAAAGGAAGAATAACATTTCAGGAGAAAAATTTGCCAAAAAAAAACAGTATTTACTCTAAATTTGTTGGTATTTCATTTACTAATACTGCCTTTATAAATCATAGCTTGGCATAGTTGTGTCCGTTGTATAAAAGTGTCCCAGTAATATCACTAATATAGGACTATCATCTCGATTCCCGGGTAGCTCCCGTACTTCAAAAGGAGTCATCA